GGCGGAGATGGTCGCTAAGTTGGAGCAGGAACCAGCAGCGGCGCACCAACCGCCACCTCCTGCGGCCGAGCCCGACGACCAGGCCGACGAGGATGTTGAGGAGATGGCTGTCGATCAAGAGGAAGAAGCCCACAAGCACATCGACGAGATGGACGCGCCTACTTGCCGTGAGCATCTTCGCAGCTGTGGTCTCGATGTACCCGCGCCAGGCGACGTGGAGGATGATGATGATGCTCCTGTCCTGCGTGATCGGCTCAAGCGGCATTTGGCCAATGCCCAGAGCCTCGCCAAGAAGCTCAAGGCCACCGCGAAGTGAGCACTTGAGTTCCCATCGTGTTACCGTGTCCATCCTACTTTGCTTGGCAATGATGACGGCTCAATGTACCAACTTGGACGACTCTGACGTCGACCCGTTTCAGGACATCGATGACCCTGGTCCCTCTCTTTCGGGACACTATGACATTTCGTTGGTGGATGGTGACTTACCTACGAGTGCGACGCCCATGGGGCCTGCGGCGTCAGGCGCTCCATCCGCTTCGTCTTCCTTGTCGAGTTCGACGGGCTGCGGGCCCCCTGCGAAGGCTGCCCCCCGCCAAGTGTGTGAACCCTCGGTAGGCTGGTGTTCTGCTTCGGCAGTGGGCCAGGACCGCCGTGCGAGTTCTCTGGGCGTGGGATCGGCTGGAGGGGAGCCCGCGAGTACCTCTTCGACCTCGGCCACGCGCGGACCTACGAGTACCGCGTCCTCGTCCAAACCTTTTGCCGCATCTATATCGAAATCTAGAAGGCACATGCCGCGAATCGTCTCGCTCAACGGAAGCTCGTTCGGGCCCATCGTCGACTACGCGGTGCAGGCTGATTGCTCGGTCATGGCCGTCCAGGAGACGCATGTGGACCAGGTGCACTTGGCTGACAAGCAGCATGCCATGCTCGACGCGGGCTGGAAAGGCCTGTGGGCACCGGCCATCAGTGACAGCGGCGCTGGTACTACAGGTGGCGTGGCTGTGTTGGTTCCGTCGTACATCACGGCCACGGCCCCGCCGCAGCGCGACAGCCATATATTGATTCCAGGACGCGCAGTGGCTTGCCATGTTCGATGGGGAATGCCAGGTGGACTCGTGGTCATCTCGGCGTACCTCAAGGACGGCGAGGGATTTGGTGCGGCCAATTGCTCGCATGTTTGGACCCTCGTGCAGTACGTGTGTGTGCTGAACGCGCTCCAGGTGCCCTGGGTCATCTGCGCGGACTGGAACATGGAGATCGACGAGCTCAACCAGTCAGGCTGGCTGGAGGCAGTGAGTGCCCTCGCATATGTTTCTGCCCTGCCCAGCTGCAGGCACTCTCAGCCTGGCTCTTTTATTGATTTCTTCGTGGCTAGCAGCATGCTAGCGACTCGATTGCACAAGCAGGTTCATGTTGACGAGGAGGCCTCTACTTATCCTCACCTCCCTGTCTCCATAGGCTTCGCCGCGTCTGATACCCCGATGTGGGCCAGGGTCCCCGATGAGCCCAAGCCTTTCCCTGCGGTGCCCCCTATTGGGTGCGCGAGGCCCCCTGTGTACCCTTGGAAGGCCGTGCTCGATGTTGCGGGCCCCAAGCTTTTGGCCCAAGGCGACCTCGCGGGGCTCTGGGACCTGGTCATCTCGGGGATCGAGTTCGAGCTGTCCTCTAGGTGGGACCGCATAGGGGTCTGCTCGTCTGGCTTCTTGGGGAGAGCGGGCCCGCCCAGGACGAGGTGGAAAAAGCTTGCGTGGGCCCCCCCCCAAGACTCGCACTTACAAGGACCCCAGCACCAAGGCTTGGGCCACAGCTTTGGGCTGGGCGAAGCACCTCGGCAAATGTAGGCACTTTCTCACCAAGGAGGTGGCAGGCCTCCAGGAGTGTGCAGCCATATGCGAGCTGACTCCCAACCAGCATGTCAAGTTACTGCGTGCGCTGGCCGATGCTTCCAATTTCATGATCAAAGTCGGTGCGTGCAAAAAAGTGCTGGCCAGGCTCGACGATCGAACGTCTGGTTTCTTTCAGTCAGGGTTTGCCGTCCTGGCCAGAGCTGATTTTGCCGAGGTTCTCACGCATGTGTATCTCACCGCCAAGGCCAAGATAGGGGCTGCCGAAGCCGCCGCGAGCTCAGCTTGGCTGGCCTGGGCCCGAGAAGCTTTCCAGAGAGGAGCGTCTCAGGCCCATAGGTTCAGCAAGGTGCGAGCAGTCCAGGAGGTCGTTGCTGCTGGTTCCAAGTCCCAACCCTTCCAGCTTGCTGATCAAGAGATGCAGCCATGGGCTGACATCTGGCGAACCCACGAGTGCTCTAAGCTTCCGCTCCCCGATGGGGCCCACGCCTGGCCCTCACTCCCTTGCATCACTGCCTCGGAGGTTGAGGATTGCATCCAGCAGTTTAAGATCAACACGGCGGCAGGCCCTTCGCGAATTGCGCCCAGGGCTCTGCTCCACCTCAGCCAAGGTGCCTACGAAGGCATAGCGTTTTTGTTCAACGGATGCGAGGCCCAGCTAGCTTGGCCCAACGATCGAGTTTGGACGGAGATGGTGCGTTTGGCCAAGCCTGATGGGGGAGTCCGCTTGATAGCCCTCATTAACACCCTCTGCCGAGTATGGGGCAAGCTTAGGAAGCCTGTCACTTGTAGCTGGCAAGAGTCGCATGGTTGTCTCGAGATCTGGGGCACCAGGAAGCGGCATAGCTCCACGGACAGCGCCTTCGCGCACAACCTGTCCGCAGAGCTAGCGTCCCTGCTCGGCGAGATCTCAATTTCAGTTTTGCTGGATATGATCAAGTGCTTCGAAATGATTCACCCTGCCCAACTCATCAAGGAGGCAGAGGCTGTCAGCTTTCCGCCTCGCCTCGTGTGGATGCTCGTGGATTTGCACAGACAGCCACGGCGTCTGAAGGCATTCGGAAGCCTTTCCGAGTCCCTCGAGGCTTTCCAAGGCATCCTCGCTGGATGCAGCCATGCCACAGGTATGCTGTTCGTGCTGACTTTTCGGGCGCTCAAGCGCCTCAACCAGATTGCCCCGTGCGTGGCGCCGCGGGCGTTAGTTGATGACGTGTCGCTGCAGCTGGTCGCCACGACGCCTGACACCTTGCCGCAGCTCGAGAAGGCTGTACGGATCTTCAGGTGCGATGCCCAGGTATTAGGGCTGAACGCCCAGCCCAAGAAGTCTGGTATCGTGGCGGCCTCGGGAAGGTCCAAGAGGTTGTTTCGGCACGGAGCGGCGCAGCTCAAACTTCAGTTTCGGCCATGGATGCGAAACTTGGGGCATGAGTTAGCTGGTGGCAAAGTGTTGAGGCTCCAGGAGAAGGCACGCCTCAAGTCTCTGAAGCAGCGCCGCCGCAAGTACATGGCGCTGCGCAGCGCCGTCGGGCGCAAAGCCTCGCTCTTGTTCAGAACTGGAGCGCTACCGGCCGCGGGGCATGGTGGCGGCGTATCTGGAGTTTCTGACGTTTCTCTTCGTATTTCAGACAATTGGCTTCTACCCTCGCAGGGGGTAAAAAACATGGTGGGGTCACAGCGTATCTCCTCGCTCACCGCGACCCCTTTTACGATCCCATATTCGACTGCACGCTCACCATATGTCTCCGCTACGCGGCCTGGATCTGGGACAGAAGAGTGTGTCTTGGGAGGGCCCAGAGGGCCTGGGCCCAACTACGTTGCTACTTCGACGACAACCCGACGTGGCAGATAGCGAAGGGGCCCATGTCGGCCTGCTGGCTCTCCCTGCATCGTATCGGATGGGCCATGACCAGCGCTCACACGTTCCTCTCGGACACTAATTTCACGATAAACTTAGTCACGACTTGCCCGTACGACGTCAAGCTATATATGATCGAAGGTATTCAGAGGTGGCAACATCGTCGGCTGCTTCATCACATGCCCACGTCCCAGGGCACCGAGCAGGTCTGGCACAGAGCGTTGCGAGGAGGTCTTCAAGCGATTCGGTGTCCGCGACAACTTGGTGCTCTCTCGGCCGTCATGGCTGATGTTATTCCTCTTCCAAGTGTACGTGCTTCCCAGGGTTACCGCATAGGCCCTGAATTTCGTGTGTGTCAGGCTCCCCTGGGCTCCTACGGGCACATCTGGTACGACTGCGCGGGCTTGGTATTGGACGGAGTTGACGCGCTTGGCGAGCAGGTCCCTGACGAGGTTCTGAGCCATAGGAATGCCTTAATTAATTCCTGTCTAGATATCTTGGGGAACCCGCAGGCCGAAACCACCTATCTCTCCTATGGGATCCCCTCGCTCTCTGTGGCTTTGGAGCCCCCCGAGGCCCACCCTCAGGTCCAGCACTGGGGGAACGTTTCAGGCCCGTGGGGGCCAACTTGTTTCGTCGATGGGAGCTGCCTCCAGTCAAGTCTCCCTGAGGTTGCTCGGGCTGGCTGGGCTGCGGTTCAATTAAGTCAAGATTTAATTCCAGTTCGTGCTATCTTTGGCGCCTTGCCTGGCGTGCGCCAGACCATCGGACGTGCGGAGCGGTGGTCAATACGTCAGGCTCTGCACTATGCGCCTAAGGTGGAAAAAATTGTGTCCGACCTGCAGGCCAGCGTTCGTGAAGGCAACGCGTGGGACCCAGAGCAGGCTGCTGGTCTTGCCAAACATGCGTCGATCTGGGCGGACATTTTCAGGAACCAGCAGCACGACCCCCCCCCAATTTGTTTGGTGCCCCGCCCACCTTTCGCTCGATGATGCTGTTGAAAAAGGCGTCTCTCTTGAGCATTGGGCGGGGAACCTATGGGCTGATTTTTTCGCGAAGCTCGGCTCGGAGTCCCACAGTTACGCGGATGGATTCTGTAAGGCCTTGGCGGGGGAATATAGATATCATAAGTCCACTCTTAAGTTCTTGGCGTGGGCTGCTCAGAGGATGTTGCAGTCTCAAGCGTGGTCTGGTGATCCCGAGGTGCCTCTCGTCTCCTCGTTTCCCCCCCATTCCCCCCAAGCTGACGATCACCAGCCACGAGATCTGGCACAGCCAGAAGGTCGCCGTTTGGAGATGCCGTGTATGTGGCAGATTTGCTCGCAGCCTGACTTCTCTCAATGCCATGCTCACACAGAGAGCCACGCGTGATTGCATTGCAAGCCCCGTGCAGCTCCTAGCGGCCTCTGAATGGTGGAAGACTCATGCCTCCGACCAGGGGTTCGCCCTGATGCGTTCCGAGGCCGTGCAGCTGGCAATGGACGCCTCCCAGAGGGAGGCTGAGCTGTGTGGTCAGACCGAGGGGCCCGACAACGTGGGAGTGAAGGGCCCGCGTTCTCCTGTGCCCCCCTCGGGGCCCAGTGGGCCCGACAGGTTCCCCCAGTTTTCGGCCCTCGGTCACGACGTTTTTAAAAATTGTGATCATTTTTGCTGCCGCAAGTGCGGAGGGAATGGCACTCTCGGCAATTTTGTGAAGTTAGCCGCCCGATGTGTTGGCTTTTCGGCCGTGGCCTCCACGAAGGCGAACCAGCGCATGGCCATCAGGAGGATTGAGGCTGGCCTGCATCCGAAGACTGGCGCGAAGCTCTCTGCCCCCTCGGCTGGTCGGCCGTGCAGGCGTGGAGATGGCCACGCTGGCCCCACGGATGCGGGCAGGCCCGCCTCTTGTGAGCAGGGTGGACGCGATGATAATCGTGCTCCCTCCCCTGCCGCCTCCTGCCCCGTCGAGGGCCCTCCCTCCTCTCGCTCGTCCTGTGGTCTTGGGGCCGAAGGCGTGAGAGGTGAAGGTGCTCGTGATGTGACCTTGGACGAGGTCCAGAGGCTGTCCCATGGTAGGACCGCCCATCGGCCATTTTCACCCCGCGTGATCCCCTCCAGAGGGGACGACGATAGTTCCGATTAAGTTTTGTTCGGCCCCGCCCCTCGTCGTGTCGTCGCCCGCGCCCGCCGCCCGCATACGCCCTCTTCCACTTCGGCATGACGGAGTGCGGCGCGCAGGCGCCTCGACCCTCGGGGCTAGGCGGGGCCCATCCCTGTCCTCTCCCCCTGGCGCGCTCGCGCCCCGCGGGAGCTCATTGAACTCGGACCTCCCAGTCGAGCTTCTGCTCTTCTGGGAGGCGCAACGGCTGCGCCTCCTCCTCCTCCTCCTCGCCATCCTTCTCCTCCGCCTCCCCCTTCCTCCTCCTCCTCCTCCTCCTCCTCCTCCTCCTCCTCCTCCTGCTCCTCATCCGCCTCCTTTTCCCCCTCCTTCTCCTCCGCCTCCCCCTTCCCCCTTCCCCTTCCGCCTCCTCCTCCTCCTTCTCCTGCTTCTCCTCATCCTACTCATCTCGCCCCTCCTCCTCCCTCCTTTTTCCTTCCGCTCGTCAGGAGCGGCCCCTGACCAGCCCTGTCGTCTTGGTCATGGGCAGCTCCTGATTAGTGCCTCGGGGGCCAAAACCGGAATTGCCCCAGACCGTAGTTGTCCTGGACAGTTCGGGCGTCCAACCACTCCCGAGTCATCAGGGCCGGGGGTGGTCTGGGGTATCTCCTGATTCGTTCGTCGGGGGCCCAAGCCGGAGTTACCCCGGACTGGAGTTATCATGGATCATTCTGGGGTCCAAGACAACAGTCCCAGAGGTCCAACGTATCGAAAACGGCAAAGCTCTAATATTTGTCTATATTGATCGCCGCGGGCTCTCTGATTGGACAGGACGTTATGAATGGATGATGATGTGGGTTATGTATGGCCTAACCTAGCCTGTAGGTGGGTGACAAGTGCCCTACGCGGCGTGGGTGGATCGCTAACTCCGCAAGCGAGTATTTGCCGCGACTTCTAGTAACTTCTTCATTGAGCCACTTGAAAGGGCAATGCGACGAGTTTTGGAAATGGTTCAGCAATTCGGACGCATCGCGGCGGTTGCCCCGCATCTAGACGACTTCGTTGTACTAACATGGCCTTTTGTTTTTTTGAAGAGCAGGCATTCAACGTCGTAGTGCGCCTCCTCCAAGGCCCTCGCGGGGCCTCGGGACCGTCAACAATCGACTCAGAACCAAAAGCCAGTCCCTGGGACAGGGGTCTAGACAGTGTGGGGTCACGTTGAGAAACAATGACGACGTGGAGGGTCTAGGCTCGGCGGCTGCAGTGGGCGTGGTTGCGCCAAGGTGTGGTTCGCGAGATTCGGAGAAGAAGAAGACGACGCCGTAAACAGAAACGTTCAGCGGTCCGCGCAGATGTCTTGGATCTGCGCTGGCTCGCCAGGGAATGAGGCCCGTCGCTGGTCCAAGAATCCGCGTGGAGCTTCGAACATTTGTGTGCCTGCAGGTTGCTATTATTTTGGTCTCCACATCGAGCTCTCTGGCCGACCAGGCGATCCAGTGTACGTTTCGAGCCCCTCCCAGACTGGGGGGGGGGGGGGAGTGGTCTGAGCGTGCACGTAGGAGACTTTTTCGTAGCCGTCGGCCTGGAGTTTGGATACGGAGTTTGGATACTTAGGGAGTTTGGATACCTTTTTCGTGCACGTACCTCGGCTGGAGTTTGGCTGCGGACACCTCCTCTTCCGCGCATCCCCTCCTTTCCCTGTTTCCTCCGTCCGCGCGCTCCTCCCCCTCCTCCGTCTCTTCCCCCTCCATCGTCCTCCTCTTCGTCGGCTTCTTTCCCCCCCCATCGCCCCTCTCCCCTGCCGCGCGAGGTGCACAAGGAGTTCGCGGAAGTGCTCAATCCCCTTGGGCTGGCGCCGCTCGTCTCACGACGGCGGTGTGGACGACGGCGACGAGGATGACGCCGAGGGCGACGATGCCGACGACGACGGCGGGGAGGACGGCTGGGAGGAGGAAAACAATGATGAGGACGACGAGAACGAAGAGGAGGAGGACGACGAGGACGAGGACGAGGACAAAGGGGAGGACGAGAGAGGTGGAGGGGCAGATGAGGGGAGGAGAAAGGGGAGAAGGAATCGATGGGAGATTACAGCCCACGTGGTCTGATTCTGAAGATGTGAGGTGTTGGTTGTGTGTGTGTGGGTGTGTGGGGTGTGGGTGCGTGGATGCATTGTTTGTAGCGGTACATTCGGCGAGTGTTGCCGCGACAGAGGGAAACGCGGGCGCGTTGTTGCTGTTGGTTGTTGCCCTCTTTGGCGTAGTCCCACGCGCCTCGAACAAGACTCGGGGATTTTGCTGAATGCCCGCATTTGATTCAGTGGGGTGGAGGCTGGGAGGAGGAAAGACTGAGCCAAGGGTGCAGTCATAGTTGAATTGGGGTACGATGTTCCATGGCAACCGTCGGCTCCGCAGGGAGCCTCTTGCACTGCCCGTCTTCCTCGTCATCCTCGTCCTCCGCGTCCTCCCCCTGCCATATCATCATCCTCCTCTTGACCTGCTCCCCTTGGTTGTTCAGTGTTTCAGAGTACAGCGCGTCCGTGCGAGCACAGAAGGCGCGCGCCTTATAAGGATGCGGCCCAGCCCCGAAAACATCACCCCCCAAGGTGAACCCATCAAGGTGAACCAGTGAACCCATCAATCTGAATAGCTTCGTGGAGGCTGTGTCCACGTCAGCCACACCATCCAGGCAGGGCGTGGTCCCATGGCCAGGCTGTGAAGACGCGCGCCGGAGGTGGTCGCTGGTTGTGCGTCCGTTCCAGTGCGTTGCAGAGCGCTCTCAGAGCGATCTGGAACGCTCCGAGAAGGCCGCTGCGCCCGATACATCCTCCAGAGATTCTCGATCCAGCCTCGCCCGATTTTTTCTTCGTCCTGGCTTCATCTAAGGTGCGGCGGAGGTCCTTTGTATCAAGCAGTGGCGAAGCGTCCTGGCTCGCCTATAGGCTTACCAAATAATGCTCCAAGAGCCTTCTGTGGTTTGCACGAACTGTTCTCTGCACATTACTTGCTGAGACTGTCTTGTTTTAACACATCGGGCTAATGTTCTAAAAACATTGTTTTTGTTTTTGGGACATTTTGGGGGTTCTCCGAACATGTCGTGGTAGGACTAGAGGAATGCCGGGACGGTCGGTTCCTGCTCAACTGCAGGCGCTCCAGTCGGCGGCGATCCGGCGAGGGCCCCAGGCGGGGAGGGCAGCTCGGGAGAGCTTCCAGTCGGGCGACCTTCCCAACAATATGTACCTTTGCATCCTTGCCCCTTCGGCCCTCGAAGAAGAACAAAAACACAAACGTAAATGTTTTGCGCTCCGTGCGATGTTCTTGGATCCGCGCTGGCCCCCCCAGCGGTGCCTCCGGCGCCGCCCTTGGCGCGCTCCGCGCGCCAGGGAGGCGGGTCCGGCGCGGATCCAAGAAATGCGCGCGGTCTTTCAAAAGTTTATGTTTATGTGTTGTTTTGTTTCTCTAGGGCCATCCTTGGCGACTTTCGCTGGCCAACCTTGTTCGAAGAACTTCAGCATAGCCCTCCAAGGCCCTTGCATCCTTACTGCGCATCCTCACGATACGGGTCCACTGTCCTGCCGGGAGTCCTATATCCCTGCCCCATCGCCTTTTCTCGACGCCGACCCTGAGGATTCCCTCTCGGCTTCTGAGGGCGCATCCCTGAGATTGTCGTCGCCTCTGGGCTTTTGAACTTCAGGGGTAGGCCTACCCGTCGGTCGTTGAGAGTAGGTATCTTTGGATGCCTAAGTCCAAATCTACTTTGAGGCGCCTTCCTACTTGAGGAGTCGAGCGGTGTTCCCTCTTCCCACCTCTCCAGGGTGCGGGCGGAAGCCCAATCTGCTTTCAACGACGGCCTACCTCCTGTGTCTACCCAACGCCGGTTACCGCTGCCTCGGTTGGCCGCTCCGGCCCGCTCGACGCGGAACTCTTCCACGTCTGAGCGCTTTCCCCTCCCCCTCCCTCCACGCGGCCGCCCTCGTCTTCTTCCCCCCTCTCTGCACGCCGGCCACTTCGCCTTTCGGTTGCCCCGAATGGCCACACGCTGGAGCGGACTGCCTCGGCCTCGCCGCCGACAGAGAAGGTCGACCCAACGTCCTCCGACGGGAGGGCGAGTGCGAAGCTGGTCAACAGCGACGGGCCCCCGACGCCTCGGTTGCTCCCCCAGCAGTGCTGGGGGACCGCGGAGGTCATCGGCCAGAAGGTGCCCTCGAAGTTCCCCTCCCTGCGCCACGCGGGGAGCCCGGCCGCCCACGATCGCTCCCGCCGCTCGCCCGGTGGCCCCGAATCCTTCGGCCTGGTGCTGGGAGGGGAAGGCTTGTCTGGAGGAGGCCGAGGACGAGGACGACGAGGAGGATGAGGACGAGGAGGAGGAGGAGGAGGACGAGGACGAGGACGAGGACGAGGACGAGGAGGAGGCGGAGGAGGAGGAGGAGGAGGAGGAGGCGGAGGGGTAGGAGGAGGAGGAGAAGGAACGAGGAGGAGGGGGAGGAGGCGCCAGATTGGGTCGGAGCAGGTGGGGTCGGAGGATCGCGGCCCGATGCGTAGCCGGAATCTCCCCTCCCCGATGGCGCCCGTGCATCGCCGACGTTGCTCCGGCCCCACCTAGTCAGACCCCACGCGGGAGGCCTCTACCCTGCAAGAGGTATCTCACAATAACAGATGCGTTAACATGCGATCGCGCCCAGGTGCAGGCGAGAAGCCAATCGCAATTTTTTCCTGCACCGACGACAACATAGAGATTACCTATACGACCACCCTTCGGGTGATAAGGAGGTTCGAGGGGGGAGGAACCAACGTCTCACTCGATCGGTCTCACTATCGATCTTACTATCGACCTCACTATCGGTCTCGCTCGATCGATCTCACTCGATCGATCTCACAGGCAATATCACTCGATCTATTTCATTCGACCGATCTCATAATCGATATGACTATCGATCTCACTATCGATCTCAACTTCGATCTCACAATAGATCTCACAATCGATCTCACTATCGATATCACTATCGATATCACAATCGACAATTAACGTCATAATCATCATCATCGCCATGAACGTCATCAACCTCATCATCATCATCGGGACACCATCATCATCATCACCTCATCACCATCATCAACATCATCATCACCATCATCATCATCGGGACACCAGCATCGTCATCATTATCATCATCATCATCAATATCATCACCGGGACACCATCATCATCATCACCGGGACACCATCATCATCTTCATCAAGATCAGATCATCATATCATCATCAACGTCATCAGGATTATCAACATCTTCATCATCATCATCGGGACAGCAACATCAGCATCATCAACATCATCACCATCGGGACACCATTACCATCACCACCATGGACCATGGACATCATCATCATCACCATCATCACCATCATCGGGACACCATCATCGTCGCCATCATCATCACCAACATCATCATCATCATCATCATCATCATCATCATCGGGACACCATTATCATCATCATCGGAACACCACCATCACCATCATCACCACATCATCATCATGAACAACATCATCAACACCATCGTCATCGGGACACCATCACCATCATCATCAGCAACATCATCATCAACAACATCATCTGGACACCATCATCATCGTCACCATCATCATCATCATCACCACCATCATCATCATCGGGACACCATCACCATCATCAACATCAGCATCATCATCATCATCGGGCCACCACCATCAAAATCATCAGCACATCATCATCATCCTCATCATCAACATCATCATCATCATCATCGGGACACCACCATCGTCATCACCATCACCATCATCAACATCAGCATCAGCAACGGGACACCATTATCATCATCACCATCATCATCATCAATTGCATCATCATCGACCTCATTATTCATCATCATCGGGGCACCTTCATCATTATGTTCATCAGCATCATTTCATCATTTCATCATCATCATCAACATCTTCAGGATCATCAGCATCATCGTCATCGTCATCGGGACACCATCATCACCAGCAGGATCAGCATCATCATTAGCATCATCATCGGGGCACCATCATCATCACCACCATGGCCATCATCATCATCACCATCATCAACTTCAACATCGTCATCATCATCATCATCATCATCATCATCATCATCATCATCATCATCATCATCATCATCATCGGGACACCTACGGGACATCGACGGGACACCGGCGGGACACCGCGCGCCATCGGTTGCCGGAAGGGAGACTTTTGGTCCGGCCGCGCCTCAGCCAGAGGCGGGACATTTCTCGCCCGCCCACGCAGCTTCGCCTCGCCCGCACGCACGGCACGCACGAGCACGAAACCGAAACCGATTTCCCGGTATGTGGGCTTTCCGTTCCACTTCGATCTCACCCCCTCACCTCCGATGTTTAGAGGCGCGCCCCCGGCTTGCGCTGGCGCGCCGCCGTATCTAAACGTATCGATTTGTCGGCCATTTCTAAACATGTGGGATCGTATCTATTTCTCTTCCAGAGAACATATCTACGTGTGTTTATTTTTCAAATAGTGAGAGCGCCGCGCCGTATCTATTCGTATCTACTTTTTGTCAGAACGAATGTTGCTGGCTGTGCTCTCGGCGCGAACAAGACTCATGATATTGGCCGAAGCAATGAACAACGGGATAGGGATACACATTGTTCATTCCTAATTCGTCTCGCGGGCAACCCGGACATAACACGGATAATTCTCACGTTTCCAATTCTTCCCGGAATAAGAAGTGAGCGGCTTTAGAAATGACAGTCCTTGCGAAACACGAATATGTATAGTTGTCTCCTTTCTGCCTCCAACTCCCCTCTCCCGGCGTCCTGCGTCCGCGTCGTGCGTCCGCCGAGCGTGAAGAAATAATTTCGAAATTTTAAACAATCATTGTTATACATATTTCTTCCGGTAATGCAAAAAACGGGTATACATACATGTCTGGAGTTTTGCATTGTTGTTTTCCTGGTGCCTCAACCTCTCGTCCCTTTTTCTGGCCGTGCGTTTGCGCCCTTTCCTGCGCGTTTCCGGAAACAGAGCTATGTACCGGGATTGCAGGCATTATTCCGATAGGACTTCATAGATGGATTTTTGGATGTGTTTGGAAGTCTGGTATCGCTCATTTTAGATATTGTAGTGCACGTTCCGCGTGTGTGTGTGTTCCTTCTCGTTGAGGCTCACATATAGCATTTCGCAATCGTGATTAACAGTGACGCCCCATATATACTACGTTTCGAATTCTTCGCAGAATTTGACATGAGCGGTTTTAGAAATGAGCGGCTTTAGAAATGAACAATGCGTAGTGGAAAGCCGTAGCGATGAGGAGTGAGGAAACGAGCGACGACGACAAAAATGACGACGAGTAAGATGGATAACAGCGACGAAGCGAAATTTAGGAGACAACTGGGTCGGAACAGGGAACCGTAGGATGGGAAAGCAAAGAGGAGGAGGAGGACGAGGAGGAGGAGGAGGAGGAGGAGGAGGAGGAGGGGGAGCGATTCGGACGATGAGCGCGGACGAGGAGGAGGATGAGGACGCACGCAGATGAGGCAAGAGGAGCGAGGTAAAGTTGGAGGGAGCGTCAGAAGGAGAACGTGAAGGAGGGGGACTCAGGACGGGGATGAAGTCGATCAGCGATTGAAGAAAATGGCTCTTCTGCTTCGTCCTCCTCGTCCTCATGATCGTTCGGCCCGCCCGCTGTCCATGATTTCCCACTTCACTTCCTCCTCATCATCATCTTCGTCGTCCTGACTGGCATGTGCATTGTCTTCCCTGTTCGCGGTAATTGAGCGGCCTAGGCCTGGCAGTGGAGACGTGGCGTCGTATCTATTCGTACCTATTTGTGGTAGACATGTTTTCAAGCAGTGGGCGCCATATTGCACCGTATCTAAACATTTTTATTCATATGTATATATATATATGTATGTAGATGTATGCATACACACATTCGTATCTGAAAATGACCTCGCATCTCAAATTTCGAAGAAGACCGACATCCCGTATCTAAAAAGGTACGAATTCGTATCTAAACGTATCTATGTTTGAAACATCTATATTCGTATCTAACTTTCGTTTCGAAACCGCCATACAACACATATGATTCAGGGACAAGTTTTAGATACCATCCGGTCCTTCCGAATGCAGCTGCCCCTGGGGAGATGAGCAACCAACATAGATTTTTAGATGTGCCTTCCAGGGTAGGTCGGGGGGGGGATAGGCTCCGGCGCGGAGCGCCTCACCCCCCCAAGATTGCCCACGCCTCGCCGAGTGGGGCCAGATTTTGCAGCCAGGGGCGCTCGGTCTGTCCATCGAGGCCTTCTCGTCGCCCTGTCGGCGATGCGTCGTCGATCAGAGGTCGACGTCACCATCGTCGAGGCATTCCTCACCCCCACCTGGGCAGGGCAAGCCAGCTCTCCCGACGTATCCCTCTACAGTCGGCCCAGATTAGTAGGTCGACCCTGCCAAATCAAGGGTGCCCTTGTGTCATGTGTCTCGCGACCCACGCCTCCTGCATTCCTATGGCAATGTGGCCCTCGGAAGGGTTTTTTGTCCTCTCGCGTGTCCTGCCCAATGAAGTCCGACTGTACTGAACATCGTCAGAGCCATCCGCGCCCCCACCAGGGCAGGGCAAGGCAGCTCTCCCCGAAGTACCCCCTTTAGTTAGTGCAGGTGGGGATGGGTGCCGCGAAGCCCGAGAGACGGGGGGGGCCTGTACGCCTGCAAGCGGGACGAAGGTTTCTCCCCGTGGCAGAGGGGATGGTTTTGATAGCTGCTTGGAGGGGCTAAGAACGACGCCTGATGATGATGCTGATGGTGGTGATGATGCTGATGGTGGTGATGATGGTGCTGGTGGTGGTGGTGATGATGCTGAAAGTGGTGATGCTGATGAAGGTGTTGATGATGATGCTGATGATGAATATGATGATGATGCTGATGATGAATCTGATGATGATGGTGATGATGATGATGATGGTGATGATGATGATGGTGATGGTGATTGTGATGATGATGATGATGATGATGATGATGATGATGATGATGATGGTGATGATGATTATGAGGATGATGAGGATGTTGCTGCTGCAGATGCTGATGCTGATGCTGTTGATGATGACGACGATGATGATGACGGAACAGATTGGAGGCGACGTTGAGGGCTAAGAACGACGCTTGTTCTGGAGGGGTACCCTCGCAGTCTTCGTTCTTTTTG